GAGAGAGAGAGAGAGAGAGAGAGAGAGAGAGAGAGAGAGAGAGAGAGTAAAGGAACGAAAGGTATATATTTATATACCATATTTCGATCTGCATAGATACGATCAATTTCTTTCGTTTCGACTGTCCGGTTGGCTTTTTCTCCCTCGTCCCTTACTCTTCTTTCTTTTTGATCCCTCTCTACTAGCTAGTCCGACGCCTTTCTCCTTTCAAACAATGATCGCATGACTGGGGGACAGGAAGTAAAAATTGAGGGGTTTTCATTCGTTATATTACTAGATATAGTTATATCATCGTTACCAAAACAGTATCGATGACGAAGAAGAATTAGACTTAAGTAAAATGTGAATAAAATGTAACAAAATGCTCATAAATACGAGAGTTCCGAGAACAATCGATTCGCATCCGAGATAATTCATTATTCTTATTTTTTTTTTCATTTCATTTTTTTTCTTTCTGTTCGAAGTGAATCGATCAATTCGTACTTTCATCGTATGGAAATCGTGATTTTTCTTTCCTACGCGTATCGTTAATTTCTTTTACCGTTCCTTTTCGTTATTTCCATTATGAAATTGCGTATATCTCGAACCTACTTGGCGTGCAATGTCCGATGGAGGCCAAAATACACGGTAGAGTTCTCTCGTCGATGCTGAACAATAAGACGATTACGGTGATATGCAGTCGCTCGATTACAACTGAATTATAATCTTATTCATTCTTTGTTTTTTCCTTTATTTATTTCCTTTATTACTCATTTCTTTTTGTCGTTTATCCGATTCTGTGGTATCCGTCGTAATTCGGGGGTGCGTGTAAAATAGTATTGGATCTCTACTTATGTTCCATTTCTTTTTTTTTCCATTTTTTTTTATCGAATATTCTCCAGAACAGGGGGGTGTCTGGGCTCCAGGGACAGGGACCAACTACAGCCCGCACTTACAACTCTTACTAATTAACTAACAGGCTAACAATAACAACGAGTCAACACTCAAAATGTGTGCTGTATGTGTTCATGCATTTATAAACGTTGCGTACACTTTAAACATCCTAAATCAATCCGTGACTATCATTATCAAACTCGGTAGTCAGTCGTTTCTAAGTTCCTAAAAAACATCCCTGCGCGTGGCGCGGAGGAGTGTCGCGCGAACAAATCACAGCGACATAAAAATTTTGACAGTAAAATTTATGACAAAAATAAAAACGAAACGTATAAGCTAAACTTTTTCTCTATTCGTCCCGTGCGTCCGTCTAGTGTTCACCGGTCCAATTCAACGTCCTCAGACCACAAAAGAAAAAAAAAAAGAAAAAAAAAACAAAAACCAAAACATATTAAAAAAAAAAAAGAAGAAGAAGAAGAAGAAGAAGAAAAACATAAATAATAAATAGACTAATAATTTAGATTTCTAATTTTCTCTCGCTACTTGGGTACCGTCGTCGAAAAAATTTCCTAAGCGATTCTCATTTTTCGATTAATTTTGTTTAACCATTAATTTTCTTTTCTCTCTCTTAAGCCTCTCGTATGTTTCATATACCCGGTATAAAACCCTCTCTTGCGTGACCGTAACCGAACAAATGCGAGACGCTTCCATAAACACTCTCAAGAAATTTGATTTACAAACGTTTCATTTTCCGTATCCGTAAAACCTGTTTGACCCTTAATAATAATAATAGTTTCACTGACTGTACACATTTATAGACCAACAATAGAAGGTCCTAGCGGCACTTTGGCGCGCTTTCCTCGCATACGCACATACATACACACACCACGCATACGCGCATCCATTTTAACACGTACACCTGTTCCCTTCCTTCAACTAGCGGCAAAAAAAAAATTTGATCCAAACCCGTCGGTACATTGATGTACCAACGATCGCGATTGTTAACTCATTCGCACCCTTATCAACTTTCCCATAAAACAAAGAAAAAAAAGAACCTGCTTTGTCGACAACGAACGATCTTTTTCTTTTTTTTTTTTTGTTACTAATATGGAACACGCTAGTTCTCAGCCCAACTACGAACAACACATTCGCTCTCTTGTCCATTTACTCGAATCCTCATTCGTACAAACGCGATTTCCTTTCCATCCGACTTATTCGAAAAGCATACACACACGCTGCTTCTTTTTTTCTCCGCGTAGACTCAAAAAATCGAATCGACGCGTAATAAAACCGCAGGCTTCCACGTTAATTCTCTTAACTAATACGATCCATCATCACAATTCCGATGTCAACATCGCCGATCTTCGTATCACTTGGCAGTAAAACAATGTGACAATGCAGTAGCGGTACTTAGTATTATCGTATTATATGTATATATATATATATATATACATATAATATATATATATATTATATGTATATATATATATATAAACAAACGACGAACGTCACATTAACGAGTCGAGGGACGTATTATATATATATACATATATTATATTATATATATTATACATATATGTATATATATATATATATATATAATAATAGTACGGGGTGGGTTGTTGGGTGGTCACTCCGATGTAATAATTAGTCCCAGTGGCACATCACTGTATACGTAATCACAACAACAACAGCGGGGCGATGGTGGTGGCGTCGAGCACGACGCTACGCGGCGAAATTTTCTCTTTTACGTTCTCGTTCACGTTTCCGTTTCCGTTTCCGTTTCCGTTTCCGTTTCCGTTTCCGTTTCCGTTTCCATTTCCATACCAACGACTTTTACTTTGTTTTTGTTTGTTTGTTTGTTTGTTTGTTAAATATATACGAAAACATTTACAGTTATCAGATCGATCGAGTAAATGATGTTGTAAAGCGAATTACTTCCTTTCCCTACCTCCACAATCTTTCTCTCGTTTAAAGCCCTCTCAATTCTTATAATCATTCGCTTCCCTCCTCCTTTCCCGATTACCTCTCTGACGCCAACATCATTCCTGGCTCTCGTTTGCGCAGCAACGAATCCAAATTTTGTCGTCTCCCATACGTCGTACGTGTCCGTTGTTGTATTGGTTGGTTTTTCCGTTTTGTTCGTGGTTGCTTGCGTGCGTGCTTTGTGTACGTGCGTATTCACTCACAGACTTGCAGAAGTTAGCTCCACGACTGATAGGAGTCTTGGTACCACTCGTGATCGTCGTTGGAAACGCCGCCGAGCGTGGCGGTCCTGCCTCCGAATCCAATATCACCGCCGCCACCACCACCACTACCGCCATTCACACTCGCCAATCCGTACGCATTGCCCAGTGGTTGTTGGGCGAGGGGTTGGTTTCCCCAGTTGCTCTGGAAGCGACGCTTAGATTCCCCCTGGTTCTGGTGACCCCCGTCAAATTTTCGTTTACCTGCTGTACAAACAAAGAAACAAACGACGAACGTCACATTAACGAGTCGAGGGACCAGCGCACTGGTCGCGCGTCACCCAAACGTCCTGAACACACTCGCCAACAAGAATAGCTATAGTTGGTGGAAAAATATGGCCAAATTCAAACTAATTTTAATAATATGCATTCAAACATTATTAATGGACATGTCGTATAAAAATTTCAAAGCATAGCTAAAGCTGTCCTCCTTTGTTGATATAACGCCAACGTTAGACCAACAAAGTTTCCTTTTTAGCGCAAAACGATAGACATTTGGTGTTTCGGCAAATATATCGAATCGGTCGTTTGACGAGTGACGATTTAACGATTGGGAAACGCGACGTTCAGGCGTGGGTAGTTACTCTCTCTGTCTGTCTGTGTGTGTGTGTGTGTGTGTGTGTGTGTGTGTGTGTTTGTGTGTGTGTTTGTGTGTGTGTTTGTGGTTGGTTGCGTGCGTGCGTGCGATGAATGTTCTTGTCGTCGTTGTTACGAGGAAAACTAAGAGGAAATGCACCGACAGGAACAGCGATTCGAATCACTAATCAAACATAATTGTTTACAACCGTTTGATCGCCGAGGAAATAACGAAAGGATTAATCGAGATCTGGAGAGACGAATTCGATAGAAGGGGAAGGGCATTGTTGGAGATTCGACAAGAAGGGATGAGAAGATCACTGTACTATACATGCATGTTCTCCAATTCACAAGGACTTTTGGGGTGAAAGGGACGGGAACACGTCTCTAACTGGACTCTACGTACCACGAGTTCATCTAGTATGAATAGAATGATTCACTCGATTTATTAGGTGCATCGTGGTCAATATGATTCATAGATTTACGATCGATTGACAACAATTTCAGTTAATCGAGTACTGTTTTAAAAAAGGAGTACTTTGTTCATTGCTATCGTGAAATGTGACATTTAATGAGATAAGCGGATCATCCTGTACTCGTTGAAAAATGTTCAATTATATCGTACTACATGACGAGAATCGAAACGATCAATGATAAAGTTAGGTGATCGTGATTGAATCAAACAATGAAAAAATTCCTTTCTCGTTCACAAACAGAAAAGAGCTAGGCTATTAGAGTATGCCTCGATTCTCGTTCAAGATCATTAGCATTAAAGTTTCAGCTGCGAACAAGGCTGAATCATCAGCTGAAGGATCAAGCGGTACACTAGCGTTAGAAAATAATACAAGAGTGTGGTTGATCGAAGGGAAACGATGGAATTGGTGAGAAACAAGTACGTGGACGTGAGAGGATGTACATAGAGGTCCGCGCATAAGATTCGAGCAACGAGCAATGAGAATGGACGAGGGAGATGTGATGGATGCAAATGGGAGGACTCGGTGTGTAAGCGTAAAATAATGAGAAGAGCTAGATATAATGGTAGCGTAAAAAGATGATCAACTTATTGTGGAGATACAGACCATCCTCACCTGGTAAACTTCCCTTGGCGCGGACCCCCCCACGAGCGGACAGCCGCTGGACCCCACGGGCCCCTGAAGTTGCGGGGTTGCGTCCCCCCCTGACTGGCCCACGGGTTTGCGGGCCACCGACTCGGCCACGCGGCACTACTAGTCCACGGCCACGTCCAGCCTGACCAAATAACACACACCCAATCGTTACCCCATCTGACAATTATTACGCTCCTAACGACGTTACTTCACATTCGCATATTTCTTTTTTACTTTCTTTCGAATTCGTTAAACCGCGTACATTTTCATCACGTGCGCGCGTTTCTTAATCACATTACTTTATTTAATCATTATTTTCTTCCTTTCTTCCTTCCTTCCTTCCATCCTACAACGCTCTCTACGTTCACGGCTTTCGTTTCTCTAGCTTTGGTATCTGTATACTGTCTATTCGTAATCTAACCCTAACTTTTTACATTAGCATAAACGATTAACGGAACCTCTGGTTCCAACATTTCTTTCGACTACATAATCCTATCGCTGTGTATGTATGTATTGTAAACTTCTATACCCACTAAATATATATATATATATATATATATAATATATATATATATATATTATACATGTGTTATATACAAACACTGTACACGTACAGTTCGAACATGTATAACGAGTATACATTTGTGTAGACTATGTGCTCGCGTGTGTGTATCGTGTTGCGAGACGTCACGCACGTTATATACATATTAGACATTTTGTACACATACTCGACAGGGCGAGCCATTTGAAAATAGCTTGTCTACTCTTGACGATAACAGAGAATCCGTCCAACTAATCTTGTTTGTCTTTTTGCCAATGTTTCTTTAGTTGGTAGCCTTTTTTGCACGCGGTAGCGGACCTGTACCGGAGATGCGAGGGCCAACTTTGTTCAGTTAATTTAATGGAATGATATGCACACCTTTCTACACCTTTCTCTGTTTATTTCTATATATTTACATTTTTGTCGTAAATGCATAAATATCTGCAGTCTATTTATTATGTATAAACACGATTAAATGGTCCCCAAAGTTGCCCATTAATCATCATGGCCACGACATACCATTCCATTGTAAATAAAATAAAAACAAAGTCGTAGCTCGCGTTTTCTCTACAGTTCCATCTGCAAACAAGTTATTCGTATCGGATTACGCAAGCCAAGAAACCAAGCGATATTCTACAACCAAAAGTAAGCAAGTGTTTTGTTTTAAATGTCTCACCCTGTACGTACACCGTACCACGTCGTAGACACATACTGCGCGGTACGTATACGTAACGTATTATTTTTTGTTGTATATACATATGTATATATATATATATATATTTTGACATTATTCACAAAGAGAGGGACAGGCAAAGAGTGTGCGTTGCGCGTGAAAAGTAAACATGAAGAAACAGAGGGAGTTTTGTTAGGAGGTAAATGGGGAATGCGAAAAGATGCTGATGTATGTGTGTGTATATATATATATATATATACGCGTCGTTGAGACGTATGTAGACAGTAGAACGATGCAACAGAAGGGATTCACCTAGAACCAAATCTTACTAACCACATTTCGGTTTTTGGTTTTTGTTTTTGTATAGACAGCAGTAGTAGTATTAGCAGAGTTATCCAATGTGGTAAAGCGAAAAGCGAACTGTACGGGGTTGGCGGGGTTACTTTTAAGCGACACAACCTACTGCACTGTCAGCTAGAACAAAATTCAACAAAGTCAAGGTTTAGATATAAGCGGCGCAGCATTACAGCAGCAGGGTAGTATTAAGCGTAAGCGGTTCTTTGTACACCGAAGCAAGCAACAGCCATCAAATTAATATTATTATCGATGCTATCGATTACTAATAACACTAACAGATAACTTTCTCTCTCCCGATTCCACAGACTATGTACACACAAGACAATTCCCTAGGCGATCAAGTATCGAAACTGTTCGTTTCTATCCAACATTATCTCTCATCGTTTTCTCAAGAAACCCTTTCTTCCTATACTCCGAAACGCGATTCGAAATAATAATATATCACAGGTACATGGACTGGTATGCGAGGAATCGACGAATTTTTTTCAATTTATTCGCGTATCATCCTCCCATATTTACACAGAAAGCGACCAAACGTACAAAACCTAACGAAACACATGCACGCTATGCTTCTCTCACTTTACGGCTAATCTGGAACGTACTCGAGAGACTTTCGACATTTGCACGTTGTTCTCTGTATTATACATGAATAGACTGTTGATTTTATACGTAATGTGTCTTGAATATATTCTGGAATTATTTTAATAATCGTGCTATTTTATTTTGCATAAATCCACATATATTTTCGTATATGTTTATTATGATTCCATTATTATTGACTCCAGAATCGAAACTATTAAAGTGACTAGGCTTATTTATCTCAAATGTACAATACTGACCATAGTTCGTCAGACTCGAACAGACCTTCTCTCACACTATTTTTCAACGAACCTAGATCTAAATTACGACTAGTATTTCCATTTGGATTAATCAGAGAACTCGTACGAATGCGTTCCACGGGTGACTGCATGAAAAAAAAAAAAAAAAGAAAAAGAAAAAAAAACGAGTCGTTCTTTAGCATCGGTCGTTCGACACACACGCGCACACACGCAAAAAACCAAATGTGAGAAGACAAGTTTCTAATGCAACAAACATTCCCAACGAATGACTTGCGACGGATGCAGATAATATCGGTTTCGCGAAACAGATTAAACAGAGATTTCAAAAATGATCTTCCGTAACAAGCGAATGCAACGAATTAACTACGGCCAAGCGACATATGAAGAACGTCGTTTCCGATCGTGTCGATCAACGATATAATTTAACAATTAAAAAGTATATATATACATATACATATATAGCAGAATACGAATCGCGTCAGGAACCGTTTTCTACTTGGCACGTAGAAACTTGGGTACACGGCTGACAAATAACGAATATGATAAACGAAAAAACTATCATTTCTCATCAAAGCGACGAAATTCGAAGAAAACAAAGTACTACCATGATGCAAGAAATACAACACAACAAACGTCGAGGTACGCGCGTAATCATGTACACAACGTCATAGCAAAGCTGCCGAGAGAAAAAACTGTTTTGATTTGTAATCGATCCACCTATGTATCTCTCTCTCTCTCTCTCTCTCTCTCTCTCTCTCTCTCTCTCTCTCTCAATCTCTCTCAATCTCTCGCTCGCTCTATCATATTTTCTGTCCTAATTATCTGCTCTATCTATCTACCTAAACTATCTATCTATCTATCGATCTGTCGAGTCGGTAGATCAAGTCTTTAGTCAGTCAAATTAAAGTAATGATGGCATAGTCGTAATGATGTTCACAGGGTGCCCAATGCTCTCTTACGGTATTTGGATAACCCTGCAACTTGACATACAAAAATATATATATATCTATCTATGCGTATCATATCCGAGCCACGAGACGCACGTCGCTCTCTGGGGAAAGAGAAAACAAACGTACATGTTGATTGAACGTCATCGACTCGACGAAACGCCACCACAACACCGCATAATGTATTTGTGCGCGAATGTGTGACGACGATGTGTAAAATACTATGTACATGTACACGTAATATATACATAAATATATATTTCACACAAAACGACGCACAAAGACAATTACGAGCTGTTTCTTTGTTTTTCCTACGTGCTTTCTGGCTACGGCTGGAATTTCATCAAACGTTTACCAAAAACTGTGATGGATACATATATGTAATTAAGGAGACCTACGACGCTAAAAAAACACTTGCAACCTTGTTTTTCCTTTCTCGTCGAGGAGGATCGAAATATTCGAGAGAAACTTACGCGACAAATTTACAAAAACCTTTTTGTCGTCTCTCTCGCGACCACGTAACTTTCTTTTTTCTTGCTTTTTTTCTCTTGCTCATTTTCCGCTTTTCTCTTACTTTCCTTTTTCTAATAGCTTTTCCCGGCTGTGTTTTCGTTGAAAAATTTAGAATGGGTCTACTATGGCTCAGATATGATTGGCAAGCAATTTGAAAGTGGCAATGTGTTCGGATCACAGGACTACGTTAGTACAAGCGATGATATTAGTTATCGAGGAATTTTAATAAAGTAGGTTTCGAAATTAACACGCACGGCGTTCCCTCCTACTAGCACTTCCTATTATCGTTCACTCGTTCCAAATCATTCCTTCGATTATCCTTAGTCATCGTGCACGCGCGTCCGCGCAAACATACACACGGACGTATATATATAAAAATATATATGTATACACATAGTCTCAGTGCAGCACAAGAAGAACAATCTTACCAACTCTAGACTTCTTCTATCGTTTATTCCTCCATGCATACTCTACAGTCTTTTACTCTATGTATAGTACGTATTGGGATTGATACTAAACTCGTCCTTACTACATATTAGTAGCAATTGCATCACACAAGAGGAACGTGCCCACGCATACGGCCGCGTACAGTGTACGGTGCCAGTGTACGGCAGAATGTAACTGAATGATTCTTTATTTCAAGCTAAGGCAGACAGCTTTGATTAACTAGGTTTCTCTTTAATATTTCTGCAATTATTCTCTTCTTTTTTCTTTATTCTACGGCATGGGCTCCATGTTGTCTAATCTTTGAAATATTCATTCTTTTTTTCTCAAACAATGCTAAAATTTTAAATGTATGCAATCTTGACACAAGAAACACATGGTACAATGATTGGAAGAGGACACTGTACAGAGTCAAAGAATATAACTTGAAACAACGTTAATCCGACAAAACGTTGATATAACAAACACGTACTACTATAATTCGAAGAGGATACTACAAAGACCAAGAACATATCATTTGAAACAACGTTAATCCCAAATAATCGTCCATCTCTGGCACGCACGCTTTCGCACATTCGCATAGTACATACATACGTGAGGAGTAGCGCACGCGTCACAAAAACAATTATAGATAGTTGCATTGGAGTGAGATGCTTACGTATGACACACGTTGTTCTTTTCTTTCTTTGTTTTTTCATCATCATCATTATTATTATTATTATTATTATTATTGTTGTTGTTGTTGTTGTTGTTATTTTTTTTTTCTTTTAAATTATGTACACATGTATGCCTTACACGTATACCTTACATCGTTAACGAGAAATTGAAGAGGAAAAAAAATGAAGAAAAAGAAGACACTCTAAGTGAACAGGTGTGTGTTTTTTTCTTTTTTTGGATAGTGTGAAGTTGGATAATGTAATTGGGATTATCCACGAACACTGTGCCACAGTCAAACTACTGCTGATGTGTGCATATTTGTACGCACGTATGCGCACACGTATACGAACGCGTGTATATACACGTGTACAGACACGCACACATGCATACACGAATCATATTAGTATTTGAATCATATAATGATTCAAAAGAACGGAAACGACTTTAGAACGATTAAAAAAGGCGACCCACCGGTTGAGGCTGCCTGCCTCTCCCTCTGGCAGGTGGCGGAGGCGGCGCGTAATCGAAATAGTAATCTTCGTATCGATAATAGTCATCGTAATATGGATCACTGTAGCCACCTCGATAATCCCCATAACCGTAATAGTCGTAATCATAATCTATAAAAACACACATTACAAATAGACCCAAATTTAGCCACGATAATATAAAAAATCCAATTTGACAACTTATTCGAGAGAAAGAAAAAAAAGAGAATAAAAAAAAAATCAAACTAATACTTGTGTCTCGTATAAGGAAAGGCATGCCGGGAAAAGATGGTTCTTTTTTTTCTTGTTTTTCTTTTTTCTTTCTTCTTCTTCCTTTTTTTTGTTTTTTTTTTGTTTTTTTTTTGTTTTTTTGTAAAACTCCAATAATAGAAGAAAAAAAGAAAAGAAAAATTTCGCAAATCCGTGTAAAGCGTTTCACGATCACGTTACACGGAAGATAAACAAACACGTGAGAACGGATTCGGATTAAGATCATCGTGATTGAACATTATTGTATCTTTTCCTTTTTGTTACGACACTTGGCAAAGAAAAAACTTGGCAACAATTACCCTACCACCATCACGTATCCTGAATAAGATTCAACGCTTAGCGCGGATCATAGAAAATTTGAAAGTCATTTCGTCGTCTAGGTTGTATCGAGTCTGGTAATGGTATTCCATAAAACGATTGACATTCTACAATTTTCGATGATCCGATTAGCGTAACGATGCTTTCAACGTTGAGCATAAATTGAAAAAAGGAAAAAAAATACAGAAATCTACAAGATGGTACTTTTACTACTTTCCACTCGTCATTCGATATCGCATCTTACCTATTTCCATGAGAGCTGTAAACAAATTTTTGAATTTATGATGCATACAAAATCAACGAAATACACACGCTTAGGTAAAATGGATTAGAACAAACAACGTAAAAACAAACAATAAAAAAAATATAGAGGGCAAGGAGAGGGAAGAAATGAAAAAAAAAAATATATATATATATATGATAGGTTGAAATTCACGGGCAATGTGTTGCGAAAATGTACACTGCCGCGAAGTAAACTCTCACTAAGGGCACCATGTAATAGGTAAACACAAAACAAACAATACACATGCAATTATTTTGTCGAGTTTAAGATACCTATGTATAAATATGAAATAAAAGAAAACGGGTGTCAGGAAGTGGTAGTGGTAAGGCAACAAGGTGCTCTTATTAAAACGTTAAGCCACACCTGACATACGTATACGTATGTGTGAACGTACGTATGCATGAAAACAGTATACGGAAGAATATTGTTTCGAACTCTCAGTTGTACGAGTACGCTGAATTTTGTCTCTAAAATACCTTTGCTAGTGTGGTTCGATACTCGTAAAAGTTTCGCGTCGAATACCCGATCAAAGTAACGATAACAAGAAAATTAATAACCATGTTAAATAAAAAGACAAAGAAGGTAAAAAAACACAGTAGTAATGGTAGGCTCAGACCAAATTCAGTGAACGAGATGAAGAAATCGTTAAGAGTACGAGTACGAATAGAAATATTCGGTTTGATAAATAAATAAAGAAAAAGTACAAGTGTTCCGTCATCTGAGCACTTTCTCACTACACAACCTTCCAACACGATACAGTGTGAAATTTACATTGGGCTGGAATTTACATTCGGATGAAATGTCTAAAAGTCTAGAGGGACTTTGAATACTTTCCTTCTTTTCTACTTGTACAGAGAGAGAGCTGAACGCGCGGTACTGTTCGTTTCTACGATAAGATAACTGTGCACAACAGCGTTCGAACGATCTAGTCGAGTAACGGGACCCGTGAACTTTCGATCCAAGTCGAGACGAAATTATTTCTAATGGTACTGTCATTCGTCGTTGATACGTTTGTATTTCTAAAGAGATTCCGACGTATGTAACATGCGCGTAAGCCAAGGTATGTAGTGAGATAGTGAAAAATCCCCAAAAGCATGCGGGATGTCTGTGTTACATAACATTACCATAAAACATCGTTATAAATGATCTAACAATGATTCGTGTTTATTTAAATCTGAAAAATAAAGTATTAATATATTTCTCTTGTTTAATCTAACGAGAACGTTCTACCGCTTTCTTTTTTCAATTTCTTTGACCGTTTCCTACGTTACCATTCTACGCTTCTCAGAAATTCTATAAATTCTCGTCAATCCTCGAGCAACATTTCTCGCACATATACATACATATATATTTTATATTTATACCTTAGTCTGTATATCGTGTATTTGCATCATCTCAACGCATAATTCTGTACATTAGTTAAACAAACAATTCGATGCAAATATTAAGAAAGGAACGAGTATAAGAATCGTTGGGTAAAACGTTATGGTCTAAGCCTAACGTAAACGGAACCGACTGCAAGCGAAAAGAAAAAACAATGGAAAACAAACCGTAATTTTTCGTTAGATGGGAACAAACACGTGCACGTTCGCGTACACGTTGAATATCTACGGAAGTATTTGTTAAAAGGGGTCGGTGAAATGCGATCAAAAAATGTGATTTTATTACATATACGTAACTGATCAAATAAAATATAGAGTTTCTGGATAGGTCTAAAAAATACCAACGAATCGCGGATAATACGGAACCTTGTAAAGTACTTACCATAATCGCCTCGTCCCATTTGTCCTCGCATACCTGCACCAGTGCCACGAGGACCTTGGCCAGGCCCGCGAACTGGCATCGGGCCCCCCATCATACTCGGATGCGACGGAGACCCTCTATAAAATGGAACATTTCTTGTTTTAAAAATGTTGACATTTTAAATGGGTCATACAAGTCTCGAAATCTCAAGGAACCGCGAACAAACTTTTTTCTTTTTATATTTCTCAACAGCAGCCCGGGGTAGTTCGGTCTAAAGAGGCTACCAAATTCCCCTTTCGCTACATTAAAATAGATACTAGGCTTGTCTGTTTTAAATTCTTTACGCATCGTTTCACACGAATGATCTATTTGTTATGTAGTTAAAACGTGAGTATATACTCGATTGATATAAACATACAACAACTCACCCGGTCCGACCCTGCAACATTTGTAACATTCTTCGTTCCCTGGCACGAAGCATTTCTTCTTTTTTCTTCTTGTCAGACGGTGGTTTTGCGAGCGACACCTCTATGTGAGAACCTCCGATTTCTTTACCATTTAGTTCGTTCATTGCCTGAAACAGTAACACACAAAGCGTTTGATTCGGTTTCCTTTAGTTTGAATCATTATGAACAAAAATTCTCAATTTAACAGGGTATTATAAACAAAGACAATTCTCACCTTAACGGCATTGTCTCGTTCTTCGAAATGCACGAAAGCGTAGTCCTTGATCTTTTTCACTCTCTCGATGTTACCGTATTCTTCGAAACACTCCTTCAGCTTCTCCTCTGAACAATCTTGCGTCAAGTTCTTTACATACAGTACACGCACCTGGAACACGTGATCGATTGGTTAATCAAGTTCATCGACGTACCATCGACTGGAGAGAATGTTCGTCCGTCGGTCGTTCCGCCTGAGCGTAATAGTTTACTTACTTTAGACATGGTTTGTTCGTCTGGCTCTTCCTGCGGATCAGCCCAATCGACTATGATATCACAGCCCCACACCTTGATACGACCGGTGCTTAATCTTCGTTTCGCTAAGGAAGCTGCTTTGTGAGATTCATATTCTAAGAAGCAAAAACCTCTATTTTTCTTCTTATCGTCCGGTGAACTGTAGATAATCACCTCGGTCAGGCCAGCTGTACGATGAAAAATTATACAAAAACGATCAATAAGGCATCTATCGGACGATCAACAGAAGAAACGAATATGTACATCTACGTTTAAAGAAAAGGAAAAAAAAGGAAAAAAAAGAAACAACAACAATAACGATAATAATAATAATAATAATGATGATGATGATGATGATGATGATGATGACGATGACGATGATGATGAGGATGACGATGACGATGATGATGACGATGATGATGAGGATGACGATGATGACGATGATGATGAAAGAAAGAAAGTTGAAAAAATAAGCGCGAATAAGGAAAATTTAGACACTTGAATTACTTTGAACCGGAAGCTTTCGAATAATACTAATAATAATACGATGAAATAACAAAAAAAAAGGAAGAAAAAAATATCCGTAGAATGCTAATTGAACTATGCTATCGGCGTTAGCGATACTCAAAATAAAAACAGGACAAAAAAAAAATAGAGAAAGGATGGAGAAAATAGGAAACAAGTAAAATCAAGGGACAGAGAAATAAAAATCCCCCAAAAAAAATAGAAAAATAAAGACCGAAAGAATGAGAAACTCAAACCGTATGAAATTTGTCATCTAATTAGATAATTGAACGATACCTGTAAAGTATCGATATGTGTATGTATTATATTAAGAATTCCAATATTATGCGTAACGCTTCAATTGACCGTTGAGAAATACCGGAATTGTTTCACGAAAGATAATAAAGTGACAGCACGATCGAGAAGGGAAATAATCGTTTTTTTTTCTTTCTTGCATTACAAAGATAGTAGTTGTCTTTACCTAGAAAGCATTCGAATATTCTTCCAACTTTATGCTACTAATGCACAAAGTATATCTAAATTGTCATCCAAAGAAGCCAAAAATACGAGAACTCGCAACTTTGACGCATTACCAAACTCCCCGCAATGTTACGTACGTTACTTTCGTTCGTTAAATTTACTAGTTTATTTATCTATTTGCAGTTTGATAAATGATCCAAGTCTCGAGCCTTCGTTCACTGCGAAATTCTGATTCTGAAATTGTCAAAACTCGACACACAAAATATGACATTTCTCCACTTTCGTTACTTTTCCAGTTTCTTCGGCAACCGATGCTCACACGTACGGTACCACGTGCGCATTCCTCTATTCTGAACGTTACGAATTTTCAGGATAAAATGGTCACAGGTGGTAACAGTAGCGTGCGTGTACACAGCTGTCGGGAACCTGGGCGAGTACATACGCACGCGTGTATAAAACAAAACGCACCACACATAGCCATACCGCCGCACACGCGAGCGCGAGCACGCCCGCACACACATCACTCTCGTAATCGCGTTGTAACGGGTATACGAATTACGTTACGGGTAAACAATCTTCATGAATAAAAAACAGTATTTTTGTTTCATGTTTTGCTCGGGTATCGATCGATATCAAACGTTGGATGAATTTGTTAGGCCGTGAGAGCAAAGTGCATTTGAAACGTCAGAGGTTTCAAATTGACTAGAAATTAAGAATCAAAAGAAAAAGATAAATCTACGAATAAAACGATATTTATACAATTGTGAACAAATTAAGGAGAAACATTGAATGAGATTAAGAAACTATGAACATGAAGCATATTAATATTCGTTACGTAATACTATACTATACTATACTATACTATACTATACTATACTATACTATACATAGATGCATCTTCCTACTGACGTTCTGAAAACTCGATCCATATGAACAAAACATACTGATATATGTATATTCTTGGTTAAGCTTGAAAACAAATTCTTTTCCATTTCATCGCACTGCTAAGCAGTTGTACTACTATCGCATATGTATATCTTTGTCTAATTTGCAAGTTCTGACCACACTTTGTCCTCACAGCTGCTATATGTACATGTTACATACTTTGGGAGATCGAATCTTTACGAAATAAGATATATTCTCGTAATGAGAAGCTGTCGTTTGCTTGCAATAGTACCAGCGTAAACGTAACGTGTATTCGTACACGTGTTACTCCACGTGACGTGTATACGTGTATTTATATACGCAACATGCATTCGTACATATCGTATATACGTACACGTAGTTCCTCCGAAAAAGTGTGAAACCCGCGTTTAACCCTCTCAGTGCCTAATAACAATGTATTATCGTTGGCTACGGTCAGTTCAAGTGTCAGCAACGATAGATCGCTGTGAATTAATTACAGCGATTAAACGAATGATTAACACAGTCACTTGTTCTATACATAAATGAGTAATAATTTGTTTATCTGTAAAATACTGTTTATAGAGGGTGACCAAGGAATCGAATTCTCTTCATAATTCTAAATAAACGTCATTTAACATCATTTTGAACACTGAAATCTCGTGAACGTGTTTCTTTGAAATGTTTCAATTACTAGAAACAGAATTAGTATCTAAAATGAACACTATTTAACAGAATTGTCAGCAAACGTTGAAATAATTCTAGTCGTTAATTAATTTGATCTCCGTTTCTCAAATACTTTCTTTTTCGCATTTCCTATTGTTGAATTAGCGTAATATTTGTTTCAAACTTGATCGGGCTACATCTTCTTGAATAGGTACTGAAAGGGTTGAGATAAACTTCTTGCGAACACAAGCTGGAGAAGAAAAAGAAAAACCACTCGACGCAACATAATCTACTCGTAGACCGGAGGATAACAAACGTAAATGGTCAGCTATCGCTCGAGAGAACGTTTCTTGCATTTCCAACAGAACGGACAAACCTTTCTTCAGGATTAAAGTACAGAGGAAGTGGGAAAGATAGTAAACTTTACCGAACGGAACATTAACGAACATCGTCGTGTCGTCAGAAACAAAACCATAGAAACTCGTAACCGTTAGAAAAGCATTCTAATACGCCAGGAGTATCGTTAACAAACTGTTAGAAGAGAATCATTTAAGAAGCTCTATTCGTATTTAATGAAACGCCACACGGATAGGTTTTTCACTCCATGTAGTCAAATCCATCGGAACCGAACAAATTCTTATTGAAAAGACGTACACCTACCCTCGATTTATGTGCTACTACTTTTCCTTTATGATTGATAAACTGATTACTAAAAATAAAATCTGTACCAAAGAAAAAATTAATATATGTTTTTTTGGTAGCGTTCTTGCGTTCATACCGTCATTAAACAGTTTGAACGTTGAATACTCTTGAGGAACGATTTACTTTATCAGGATTAATAATAAAAATAAATAAATAAAAATTCAAGTTAATGATATCTATGACATCAACGATGTTGTCGTATAATGTCATTGGAAAATTGAATTACAAATATTTGCCTACGCCTCTACAAATTATTTCCACGCGAGAATATGTAAAAGAGCTCGGAAAAATTAAAACACCTCAACATGTTAATTAAAGCAATAAATCTATACCAACGAAAGAGTCCATCATTTCTTTTCTAATCAATCAACCAACAAGTGACGAGAAAAGTCACATCCATAAAAACCAAAATTAAAGTTACGCCTTTAAATAAATATTTACAGATTTTCTCTTGTAAATCGAGGGATGGGTGTTCAATTGTGATCGAAACAGAATGAACAATCATTAAATAGAATAGTTGGCATGCTATTAAAATTCTCATGCACTGCAGCGACTTTATCGCGAGTCCATAATATGTAGATTCGATAGTATATAAATGAAATCGAATTCTCGTTTGAACGCTTTTCGATTAGAGTAAGGTATGGGATTTGTACGCACGACCGATGATATCGTAACAGACTTGTTTTCATATGTGACAAGAAAACATCTGTGAGAATATACTTGGAACACAAGTGTTTTGCTTCTGAACGTTATAATTAATCGCTAATCATTGTTTGCTCTTTTCGTTAAAACATAGTTCTTCTCTCCTTCCTCTCAGTTTAAAAGCTGAGTATACATATACGTGTATGTATGTATGCATATGTGTATGGTGTGCGTGCGTGCGTGTGCGTGTGTGTGTGTTTTGTGTATGCACTTAAACGACAAGGCATCCGATGCGAACGAACCGACGTTTAATCTTAAAAAAACACACACACACACACGCACGCACACGCACACGCACGCACGCACACACACACACACAAAGAAAAATACGTACGGCTCGTTTTAGAGATTGTTCAGAGTGAATTTGTAATGATATCAGTGTGAAGGTTGTAATATTATCGCCAAGACAATATCAGATGCCCTGTCACCACCCCCCTTTCTTTCGATACATTCATGTTTTCAACTTTAACCACCTTATATGCCTCGTGAATCCGACTGTTCCATTTCAAAATTATTTTTTCCTTTCTCTTTCTGTTTCTTTTTTTTCCAGAAAATCCTTGATCTCCTCTCTGTGTCCAGACTTTAATATTACATGCAAGAATGCTATGCAAACACACACTGAAAATGTGAGAAGTAACCACACACACATTCGCTTCCAATCACTCTTGATCGACCATCGCGCCGTTAACAAACAATAAAAAAAGAATATATATAGCAATTAATTCCGAAAATGTGAAAACGTTCGAAAAAAGAATGGAAACTTTCCTACAGCCGACCAAGTTTTGCCAACAGATATGCAATGTTCGTGAAATGGTAATCCTAATCGTATGGTACACGGAACGAAATTAAACAATTTTTTTTAGAATATTAGACGAGACACTGTGCGTTACTGTTCTTTTTCTATACCCTTCACACTCTTTATCGCCCTTCTTGTAATCTCACGTGCCCCAAAATCAATTTCACGAGGATCAAAAATATCTTTCGCGAACGTGGAATTTTGTGAAATGGTGCCAACTCCTTTGTGTACACAGTTTTCTAGACACATTTCAATTGAAATTATTATTTAAAGTCTCAAAGATTATTCGTTAAGCTTTCCGAGGGTCTCTAGGTTTACCGTTATTCCGTAAGATATTAAACGAATTAAATTATATTCTTCGACTACTGTTTTCCTGCGATTTTATTATATTTACGGTGGAATAAATTTGTTCGTTATTTAAAAAGAACATTAGTATTCGTTGAATCTAGGCACGTAGACACGAAGGAGTTGAAAAACTGAAATACGGGATCAAAAAATAAATGTATTGGGTGTAAAAATGAATTCTGTGTTTCTGTATTCAATCTTAGGTAACTCTAGTTCAAACATTTGAATATACTCCAAGAGCCAATATACTTCAGACTTGAGTCATAAATTCATTGCAATGGAGATCTAAAAGCTTGATAATGTAACATGTAACAAAACAACGATTAAATATTTCTACTAAATCTACAGTTACAAATAATTCGATACAAAGACCCAGAATTAATTACTACACCGATTATACACATCAAATTGAATTCCAAGAAAAATATGCACAAGTTTCCTTGATCGTGGGGCACAGCCAAGTACAAGCGAACGTTAATCGATTGCGGGCACTTTTCGTTAGAGAAATGAATAAATAACAGAAGAAAAAAAAAAAAAGAAAAAGAAGAAAAAAAAATTGGAATTGCAAAGCGAAAAAAACTCTCGTACCAAATGATAAAATAAAGTACGTGGAAATCCCGTAAACGAGAAACAACGCGCGAAACGTGCGTGGAGATGAAACAACGATCGTCTATTTTGCCCCGTGGTTGTCGTAGCAAACATTTTTGGAAAGAAATTTGCCTAGCCGAATAATGATACGATGAAGTTGAAGGGGGCTGGAAAGGGAGAGATTTAAAAAATTCGTACCCGATCCGAGCGGGTTTTTGAAAAATCGGGGGAATATAAAAACAGCCGATTCGTTAAGAGTTAAAAAATTTTTGTTTGTTTGTCCCCACCATCTTTCCCATAGAACTTCCTTTGGTTTACTGCTTTGCTGATTTAAGGACAATTGTCAACTTACGTGCGTGCTTTGTAAATTCTTCGAACAAGTCATCTCGGTCTCGATTCTTTGGAATATTTCCCACAAACAAGCGGTGATTGTTATAAGATACGGTAACACCAATCTTTTTCCCTTTCCGAATCTCATAATCATTCAGCTGTAAGAATAATGTGGAAGGATAGTGCCAATTAAGCTTGCCTTTAATAATTTCACCTGCTTATTGGCTGTCTGAACGTGGGATTTCGTGAAGCGACCTTCAGGGAGGTAATTTCTTATTTTGTTTTTGTTTTCTTTTTTTTTCTTTTAGTTTTTTAGTTTTTTAGTTTTTTAGTTTTTTAGTTTGTACAGAATCGTACACGTTATCGAGGGTCGAGGGCAAGCAATGTTTACCGAGGATCGTGAATCGTTTTGGAGGCAAAAGATCAAGGGGGACAACTGCGTACAGGGTTTGCTTTGGAGAGTCGATGAACAGGTGAGGGTTGGTTTGGATGGTATGAGTAGGTAGGTGGATGGGAGTGCCTGTCCGTTTGTTAGCGAGCCAAACGCCCCAGCGGTCCACGCAAAATCTCCCATGCTCGAGGCCCAGTCATGAATCGCGTTTTAGCGTGTTCGCGAGCAACTCCTAAGTAACCGCGCAGGACAACGCGTTCCTTTCGATTATCGAATCATTCGAAATGATCTCAACGATTAGAATCGTGCTCTATTGCTTCCACATTTTCTCTTTCAGTTTACTCCGTCTCTTTTCCGCGATCTTCACTGACGGCTAAGAGAACGAAGACATCGATAGCCCAGAAGATCGACGAGTCGACAGAGCCGGATTAAGACGGCAATTTAACAAACTATCTCCCAATTCGTGGAGGAAATATCGAAAACCTGAAAGCTCTACTTGCGTTTATTGAAACAGTCACACGCGAGTAAAATTTTTCGAAATTTTCGGCGAGATCCCGAAATCATTCTCGAACCTTGGAATGTTCATGCACAAATGCAGTCAACTCATGTTTCTAACCATCGAGCATTCGTTGATACTTCTGGTAACGTTTTCGACCTTGCAGCGAATCCTTTTCCAGATGCACTCGTCCCATTTTCCGTTTACAAATTTCAATTCATAGGATCAATTTACCCAAGAGAACCCACGAGGTCACAAACCTTCCAACGAATAATAACAAATGCACAAAGGTCAGAAATATAAGTGTCGGTGAAACAACAACAACATCAACAATAATAATAATAATAATAATAATAATAACAACAACAACAACAACAACAATTGCAGATCTTAATCCGGCGTCGCGAGTCGACCGCACGAAATACATAAGATCAGGACGACTCGAATGAAATTGACAGAAATTATAATAGCTGGGTGGGAGAGTGGAGCGGAAAGCAGAAAAAAGACGAGGAGGGATCAAGATTCATCGCAGTAGATGGTGATGAATGGTGGCTGCGGTAGCGGTTAAACGACGGTGATGATAGCAATGGCGGCAGCGGCGCAACGGTGGCAGCAATGAAGATAATAAAGGAGCCTGGAGACAGTAGAAGGTAGATGAACAGATGAAAACGGTGGGAAAGGGTTGAGGAACACGATGATGAATAATAATGGGAAGCGATCAACTCATAACTCAACCTAAATATGCGAGGAAAAGAAGACTTGGACCAGAGAGGTGTTACTTGTTCACTAATAAACCGAGAGGCAAGGAGACTGACCAGAACTGAAGGTGCCATAGGTTATATCGCAGATCGCACGCGCGATCATCATTTTTTTTTATCTTGGATGCTCCATAATTCCATACCATCTACAACCACTACTTAAAAGCTACCACTCGTAAGTTACAATACAGGTAGACAGGTAGGTATAGGTAGATAGGTAGGTACACACGCCTCGAATTCACTTTACCTGTTAATTTACCAAATTCCTCCAAGATCTCCTCTTTGCCTTTTGACTTTGGTATGTTCCCCACAAAAAGTCGTAGATTAGGAACGCTAATGTTTACTTTCAGATTCTTGCCGGGTTTTATTTCGTGATTATCGAGCTGTGGGATGAAGAAAACAGACACATGCCTAATATTGTTCCAATGAGATACTTTGGGTTTTTTTTTTTTGTTTTTTTTTTCTTTTTCTTTTCTTCTACGTAATTGCGACAAACGGGAGAATTTAGGAATTTTTTTTTTTTTTTTTTTGAAAATGTGCAATTTAGTGAAACGATTAAACATGGCGTGGTTCCATGAAAGCGAGAAAGTGGCATGCGCTTTGTCGCTCGAGTCTTCACAATATAGGAAACCGGCGTACACGTATCATTGTGCTCCTGTAAACAAATTTTAAGCCTACCAATTTTCCAAATTTTGTTACAAAAATTGTCACTGTCCAATGAAAGTTAACCAATTAGGTAAATATACCCCTAACCAATTAGACCACACGAGATACTTTTTTTTAAATATTATTTTTTTTTCGTCGTCATTATTCAGGAAGGTTCTCCACTCCCAATTTTGCCCACTGAGCAAAGAGGAGAGCTGGAAAAAGAAACTCATCCATAGGATATCATTAATGTATGTACGTACGTGTGTGTGTGTGTGTGTGTGTGTGTGTCTGCGCGCGCGCGCGTGCGCGCGCATGTATACATGTATACGTATGCGATGTATTTACCTATGCGTGTGTATAGTATATGTAGAATGTATCGGTATCTATGTATGCATCTACGTATGTATGGATGTATGTATCCATCTATGTCCCTCTGTATTCAGTGTAGTAGTCGATAAATATTTGGGGATGTGTTGGATTTAATTATGTACTTAAACATGAATCGATGGTCAGGGACATATATGTACGCATATGAGACAAATATGTGGATTGTTCCTAACGAAAACCATTTGTTCGTAAATTTCGTTACTTTTTACCATTAGTGAAACAATGCTAAGACATTTGCGTTGAAAACTACCGGAAAAAAAAGCGAGAAAACGCAAGTGACAACATAGAACAAGCCACATGGGAATATGAAAAACTTCGTTCGAAATGTTTAATGCAAGAGTCTAGAAGAAAATAAACAGAATTTAAAATCACGAAACATATTTATCGTATTTATTCGATCGAAATGATAAATATTAAAAGTAATTAAATACTAATATTCGGTACACACCAGATTTGATTATTCTTCATTTTAAATTAAACAGGATGAATGAAAAAATTAAACAAAGTAATCTGTAAGCCATGAAATGAAAAAATAGCAAAAAGATGTAAAAGAAGTACTGTATATATATATATTATTTAAACATTTCGAAAGACCACATATTTTGGTAGCAATAACAATTTTGTAACATTTCTAACAAATTTTGTAAATAAAAGTGAAGGGAATCGATCTGTCCATAGCAAGATATCGTAAACTAGGGTAACAGAATTATGTACGCTTCACAAACACGTACCTACGCAATAATAAAGAAATTTGTGAATATTTACATACCTCCCTAACAGCTTGCTGTGCCGCTTCCCTGTTAGTAAAAGTGATAAATGCATATCCTCTGTTGCAACCTGCCATTGGATCCATCATTAGTCTTAAATCCCAAATCTTTCCACATTTTTCAAATAATGGAATCAACTCGTCTTCGTACATATCTTTTGGAATTTTTCCACAAAACACCTTTGAAAAAACAACCGCGTATTTGACATGAAAACCAAATAGATCGATTCCAATTGTACCTTTGCTTTTCAAACGGGAAACACACGTAAAAAAAGAAACGAACGAATCTTTTTTTACTTACCTCGCAACCCGTTCCTGGAGTAGGACCTTCCCAATTCGGAGGAGGTCCGCCGTACTTTCTCTGTCCTGTCGTTACATCCAATGGGTAACCGGTTCGTTCGAGGATCATCTGCAGCATTCGTATACATTTTTGTATCAACCGTGTAGTACGGATTACAATTTAAGAAATGTGCAAATTTTATATCGATGAAATATAAACGTACCTTTATTTTATCCTCATCCGGTGCTTTTGGAGTGGTACTGGTACTGGTACCTTGACCAGCTCTGCTCTTTTGTCTATAAGTTTTCATAACACCGCAAAGGTATGCAGATTTATTTGATACGTGTTCTAAATTTGACTCCAGGAATTGTGTGAGCACATTTAACGCGCCGTCGACAGGAAACTCTTTTAATGCATCCAATGCTCTTTCATCCAAATCGACGTGAGCCAATTTTCCTGTCTTGTAAATTTCATCCAGTTTTGCAGCTACTTTCTCGTCCAGTCCGTATTGAATTAGTTTAGAAAAATCTTCTGTTCTTTCTACATATTCCATTTCCTCTTTAGACTGTTTTTCTTCCATTTTTATTTCCCCATTCCCTTCTGCCATAGCTAAACAAAAAACAAAAAAAAAAAAAGAAAGAAAGAAAGAAAGAAAGAAAGAAAAAATTTCAAGTATCAGAACAATGTTGCGAAAAGAAATGTGGTTCTACGTTAAAATTTTAATTATTTAGATCGAATATCCTCAAGTATTCTACAATTGAAATACACAAACATTGATTCGATTTAGATGCATGTGAAATGTAAGATGAATTATTAGACTATCTTTTGTTCTGTAAATGGGTGTTATACGCGCTTTCATTTTGCTAGGAATCAGATTCGAAGAATAGAGGGTTCTAATATTCTTTTCGAATACATAAACAAATCTCAGGATGCGTTATTAAAAGGTTATCGCGATCGAGCAGTTGAAAACGATTAGCTTCTGAAAACGTGTTCACGACAGCACGACGTAATTAATTTATCGTATAAAAAACACAACTTTTTTCATAAACTTTACATACAGTTCAGTCAACGATACTGTTACCAAATACCGAGGCGATTTCATGCTTTGACACAGCTCATAATGCAATCACCCTTTCGGCTAAAAATACAGTTTGCGGAAAGGATCGAACAAAAGCGTATCGAGAAAAAGAAATTGCGATTAAAAATTCCAATGGAAGAAATCATTAAGTATACACGAAAATATACGTGTAATAAAAATTTAAAGTTTCCTCGTCATTTCTAAGCAAAAATGTAGTATAGATAATACAGGAAATGCGATCAACTCTGAAGACCGGGGACCTGACCATCTGCTTCCAACACCATATAACGCGTGGAATATGTATTTCCCGCGTTAACGAACACAAGCCACGTTGTTTTCAAAATACCGCACTTTCTTAGTCGAGCATGAAAACGTTGGATACAAAAAATGTACGCGACTCTCCTAATCTCTCACTGATGACATTTTCTCTGAATTGATCAGTTTGAAAGTTAAAATAAAATAAAATTTGTATCGTTCGACAAGACTGTTTGATGCACGATAATCAAATTATTAGGGTAGAAAAAGGTCTAAATAACGTAATTTTAATCTATAAAACACGATTTATGCCCTGAGAGAACAACAATTGAAATTTTTCGCATATAACTTGCCGGCCGGCAATGGAACTGCATCCATATTTCTTGAAGAATGCGATGCACTTTTGCACTCACGATAACATCAACACATGCCTTTTCGATCAATGAATCTCCGCTCGCATATAGAAACACATGATTCGAGAAAGGCGCGCAAACGAAAAAAATCCCGTGGCGTTGCGAGCCGAAAAACGTTTCTTTATACCTTAGAAAGTAAATGAACGAAATCCTCCTGCGAGGAAATGGCGATAGACGTCAACGTGATTGCAGACTACGGGGTTCACAAAACGACGCGCAAAGATACGCTCGAACCCAGCGACACGAGTTAGCCATTTTCTTTTGAAGCGCATTCGCGAATTCTGATTGGCTCGTGCAAAAAACCGAGAAGAAAAAGTTGCCGTGCAGTATGCACTTGTATAAAATAACGAATCTCGGGTCTGAATTCGTGTAGACGACACGTTATGTACACTTGTTCCATATGCGAACTTCAATATTGCGAATATTAATCGCAGGGAATATTTCTATCTTTTCTAGAATCACTTTAATAGGAATTAAATGTACGGTATGCGTCTCGAGTATTGGCATATATACATGTATATGTATATGTATGCATTCGTCGTATTAAACTTACTTTCCCACCGTTTCGATCAGTTTTTTTCTTGTTTCTTTTAAGGATTTAATCAGACTTTAAACGGGGAAATGCTTATTTCTGGCTATATCTGGTTAAAATGAAGTCGTGAGAATGATACGATTGAATTGAAACTAACAAAAGAAAAACGAACACCGCCGGTAGAATGAACTTGTTTTTCATAAAATCCATCTTGTACAAATCCATCTTTGTTCAAAGTTATGTCTTGAATTGTAAGATATACTGCGTAAAAATAGCGATTTAACCAAGATATATTCAATGTTGAATGTTAAAGATTCTAGGAGAGAGTTTACTTTGTACAGATGATATTCAGATAGTCTGATGTTTTATATGCATATATCTACGATCTATAGGTTACACAACATTTTCAGACGATATTAGTTTGTAAGAAACGACAAGAAACGACATGTAAGAAAGCAACAGGAAAACTGTTTGGCTATAGGCGCGAGAATCGAGTCGGCATCAAATACCATAACCTCTTAAATACGATGACACCGTGATGAATAAATGCGCGCGTAGGTATGCAAGTATTGCTCGATAACGAAAAATACACTCCGATTCTCGTCGAGACGAGGCCGAAAAATATGAGTATACGATATAAAAATGGTGTACCTGTACGAGATTCGAAATCTTCACAGTATTAATTTTGAGTAAATCGAATGACGGAGCACCAGATACGTCACAAAAACAGAGTCACAATCCTCCAATTGGTATAAAATTCATATTCCGGATTCCACCAATGTTAACGCGTGCTCGAACGTGTAATATCGCTTCACTTTCGCGTTTTTATTATATGCCACTGTGTTCTAATATTGCGTTAAGATATAATAAACACTTTGTTGTAGAACCAAAGAAGATGTAATGCAGTGAATTTAGTCTTGTAGGCACTTGCAAAGTTCTGATAATATTGCAACGATGATGACAGTAAGTGGAGTAAGCCCGGGCGCAGCGTTTTGATATCGTGTAGTGCCTACATAGCCGTAATGCATAAATTGGACTGTCTCGCTGAAAGAGCGGTGCAGTGGTGCAAGCCCCACAAAACCAAACCAGTTTCCTCGCTCGCTTGCTAGTTGCGCCCCAATCCAATCCGATTCAACCGCTTACCTCTCTTCGCGGTATATGCGAGCCCCGCCTTAGTCAGACCCGTCGCAATTGCCCTCAGGGCCCCCCAACCCCTCCCCCCGCGCCACTTTCTCACAATTTTTCATAACTCTTTTTTACCAATCCTTCTTATTTCACTTAACTTTTTTCTCAACTATTCACGTTCACGTTATATGTCTCTCAACTATTACTTCGTATTGCTACACATTTGATTTGTTTGTAATCAAATTTCAAATATTAATAACGTGAGAGATATAGTCAAACTTGTATGATTTGAATCTCTACAAGTTAAATTGTTTATCATTTTATAACTAACCTCTAATGTAACAGTACTTGAACGAAACTTGACAAAATTATATTTGATGAATCATTAGTGTCTAATGATTTTGTGATCGTATATATTCATAACATTCCTCATATTCGCGCAATAAACGGCGATAGAATGTTACAACAACGTTTAAAAATACAATGATGTTTTGATCGAACAATGCAACAAATTTCATTTTCTTTTTCTTTTCCCGCGTGGGAAAGTAATAGCTTCATTACAAATAACCCTCCTGTGCAAAACAATACGTCACGTCTTGCGTGTTAATTTATCATATGTATATCGTATATCAAAAGACGAAGGAGTAAGCTCGAACGATGAATCGAATTGTCACGTTTCTGGAACGTTACAAAATTTACGGACTCGCAGAAGGTCAACGTGATAATAGCGTCAAGGAACGGTAAGAGGATAAAGTAACTATGTAGGTGTTCTGTGCATCCACATCCATACGTGCATACGCGGGATTTTTTGGTAGCTGACACAAAGCCCGCTAACGGTAACGAAACATTTAATATTACAATTTTTACTACATCTCACGACTGTATTTACAACGAGAAACGAAGCTTTGTAATTACAATAGAGCACTGTCTGTGCTCTTATCCTTTAGAGTTTAGAGAATCCTTTTCTATTTCCTTCCACTTCTACTTAAAGTTCTACTTTAAAGTAGAAGAACATGGCACAGATACCGAGATACGGTCCTGAATTCAACCGTAAACCGCCTGTCTGGTTGAGCACGCACCCGCGTCCCTCGAACGAGAAGGAGGAAGAGAGAAAGGCGATGCTTGCACACTCGCTTGCAGAAACCTGTTCCTTCGGAACTTTTCCGTTTTCTTAACAATTATTTTTATTCGTCTGGACGGCCTGGCTATCGAAAATGTACTTATCGATGCAGAAACTATCTGTAATCCCTGGACTACAGAACATCGATCAATTACGTTTTATTTAATCGTTGCATTGCTCGTTTCTTCCTCTCTCCTTTCGATCGTGATCCGGTCTCTCGTTCTATCTCTCATTACTTAGCTGTCTGCACTCTCCGCAGACAATGCATTTTTTGCTCGACTCTGGAGCCATTGTCGTGGGAGGTTGGGATTTTAGAGTAGAAAAATACTTGTACATATACATATATCGGATCCCCTCGAAATTATAAAATATCCATTCGCACACATCGTCCTTGTTCCTTTTTACTGAATTTTACGCGATGTAAACGTTTGTATTATAAAAATATAAATGATTGCTGATCCGAAAAGCTCTTTTGTTTGTATCGATATGTACATATTTTCAACATATTATCATGCTCTGAGCGATACGCGTTTAATCAAGAAATTATGTGATAGCTCGTTAAAGAAGAGAAAATGTTACAATATGTATACAATTTTTGAAACGAATCAAAATCATCATTCACCATTTCTATCGAGAATATTTCAATCGAAACTAAGTAGTTGTTTCACATGAAAGGTTTTTGTTTTCGATTGTAATATTAAATTATTAAATGAATGACCCCATGGGAGACTATTTCCCACGTTAATATCGAGAGTCTTGAACTGTGAACGAACATTACAGAAATTTTCTCAGGAACCACACAGCCGGACAGAGGAGACCCCCAGCAAGTTGTCTCCTCGAAATACTTGTTTAGGTATGAGACATTCTCTTTTTTTCGCAGATAAATAGGGGTGAACCTGTATTGGGACAATAATGCCACAGCGAGCAGAATACTTTGGTACTCGGGAGAGTCAAATCCCTGGGGGGTCGTTGGACCAGGGCGCTAGGTGAATTACCATAATAAAAGATATTTAAATGTTATCTCATATTAAGCTATAGTTTACTACTTTTTCTTCTTTCTTCTGAAAATTCCGTAGACACAGCTTCCGCCGCAATCTGTTTTCCTTACAACAAATGAACACAAATCGAGATTGCGGTACGTCTTCAAGTAAAGACAAAAAAAATCGTCGATATTCTCATCTAGATAAAAATATCGAATCGAACAAGTATTTATTCGTTTGTTTAACCTTCAACGATATCAAAGTCTAAAAGGGTATTTCCAAATGTTTTACATGTCTGAATGTTTTTGTTCTCCCATAACTTCCAACCTTTCCTTTGTTCCTCATAAACTTTTCTAATCGTTACTGGTTGAACCAAATAAATATTAAGTAGATGTCATAACTAATTCGTTATACGTACAAATTATCACAACTTACAATTAGTGTAATAAATTGCACGTTTAAAGTATACCTACTGTCCTAACCTCGATCTATTCCGAAACGAAATTCTCCAGAAGTAACCAAAGTACATAAATAAGTGACACGTGCCAATTTAAGCCTAATATATACAGAAATTGGCTACATTCGTAGCCAACTCGTTAGAAATCTAACAATTATTCCTTAAATTCAATCTTCATAGACGATTAAGATTTTTTTATTCGAAACTTGGGAGCTCGGCAGTTGGTCCAGTTGGATTTCCCGGTGCGCGTGCTATAATACACGGCAAAAGTTAAGTCTAACTCGGTATAGAATCAATGACGTCATACCTAAAGCAACATGTAGGATTTACGAAACAGCACGAACGTAAAGCACGATTCGGGGGGATTGCGGATTGGGTGTGTTTACTCGTTTGTCGTTTGTCGATAAGCCAGTCTTGGCCAGTCTTGCGTGGGTTGTTGTGAATGAACGTCGCGTAGACGAGAAACTGCACGTTTCTCGTCACTTTTTCCTAATACTCTCTCTTACTCATGCTTCGATGAATCAGTGAGATATTGCTATCAACTCCAGTACGTAATAACCAGCTCTGTATCATTAAAAAATGGAGCTCGTCGATTCAAAAATGTACGTGGCGATGATCATGTGTCTCTTTTGTTTGGGCGTTGTCGGCCAATACGAATGGCAAGCCAGAGACGCTTTCGACGAAATTCGTCTGAGAATGGATAAGATCAATCGAGAAAATTGTCCTATTCAGCATCTGGGAGACTTATATCTACCAGAGGACTCAGTCTCTCATTTACCTGATATCAAAGATATTAACATCAATCCTGTGTTTCCTAATAGAACTGCTTTGTTGCATCTACATAATATGGCTCTTAGTAGATCTTTCTTTTGGAGTTACATCTTACAGTCGCGATTCATACGTCCAGCGATCAACGACACATACGATCCAGGCATGATGTATTACTTCTTGTCAACCGTTGCCGATGTCTCTGCAAATCCGTACATAAATGCTTCGGCTATATATTTCTCCCCAAACATGTCATATTCCCCATCCTACAGAGGTTTTTTCAATAAGACCATGCCCAGATTTGCTCCCCGTACATTCAGAGCTGATGATTTTAACGATCCCATACATCTGGAAAGAATATCTACCAGAAATACATTCACTATACAAGATCTTGGTGCTTTTGCGAGCAGCAGTCTTAGCGAAGATTATACAACGGATTATCATCGAATAAACGAATGGTAATTTGGTTAATAATGTTTAAGCAAGACTTTCGGTTCATTTAAATGTGCTTATGTATTGGTTTTGTAAATGTAGGTATAAGAAATGGTTGCCAGATAATGTTGATAGAAGACACGACACTAAAACTACTTATCAAGTTGAAATTCGATATGCTAATAACACCAACGAAACATTTACATTCCATGGACCACCAGGTACTAGAACGAAAGCAATCTTATCAAAGCATTCTATTTCAAACAAACGAGACTTAATATTTAATTATCTTCTATTATTTTGTGTAGGCGCCGATGAATATCCTGGACCTGTAAAATGGACCAGGCCATACTTTGATTGCGGCAGATCGAATAGATGGCTTGTGGCAGCAGTTGTACCTATTGCGGATATTTATCCAAGACACACAGGGTTTAGACACATTGAATATCCAACGTGTGTATTTTACATATTTATATCCCTATTTAACGAACGAGCTATTCATTTGAATTTCCTTTTACATTGCTTATCTTTCTTCCAGATATACTGCTGTATCTGTTATAGAAATGGATTTTGAAAGAATAGACATAAATCAGTGTCCTAAAGGGAAAGGGAATAGTAGACCGAATCGATTTGCAAATACTGCAAGATGTAAAACAGAAACTACAGAGGTATTTGACATAAATGAATCGCATCATGTATTTCATCATTTATTTCTGCTAATTTTAATTCTTGCCGTGTGTGTAGTGCGAACCATTACATGGTTGGGGTTTTCGAAGAGGAGGATATCAATGTAGATGTAAGCCAGGTTTTAGACTTCCAACGGTAGTACGACGTCCGTATCTCGGAGAAATCGTCGAAAGGGCGACTCAAGAACAATATTATAATGGATTCGATTGTACTAAAATAGGATGTAAGTGTTATGTTCCAACTGTATGTAGATGTAATATGATGCAAGTGTGATGTATTTTACTTGACAGGGATTCAAAAGACGCCAGTACAATGGGAAAAGGCAAAACCATACATCAGAGAAAAATATCTCGAGCAATTTTATCGCTATAAAAATTATTCTCTTGGACCAGAAGCTTTGAGGACTGAGAAAATGAATATAGATCAAGCTCTTAAATTTATCTTGAGTATAAACGCCAAAACGTGCAAAAAGTAAGTAAGAAATGATTATTAATAATATACAAGTTACAAAACTTAATACCTAAAATTACAGTTACACGAAAGAAGAATTAACATTACGCGGAGATATCGGTTTCGCCGCAGAGGAATTTTTCGAAAACGAAGCAAAAATGGCGACACGATTAGCAAACTTTATTAGCGCGTTTCTACAAATTTCTGATCCTCATGAAGTTTACTCGGGTAAAAGAGTAGCAGATAGACCACTTACAGAGGATCAAATGATCGGGGAAACTTTAGCTTTGGTTCTTGGAGACACTAAGATATGGTCTGCTGGAACATTTTGGGATCGTAACAAATTCACGAATAGAACATTCTTTGCTCCATATGCCTATAAAACTCAACTAAACACTCGAAAATTTAAAGTCGAAGATTTAGCCAGACTCAATAACACAGGTACAGTAACAAACATTATTGTATAATACTCATATTTTTCGTACGAGTATTATAATTGCATATGTTTCCAGAGGAAGTATACACTAAAAAGAATTATTTCCAAATACTGAAACAAAGATGGGCAACGAATTACGATGAGCTGGAGAAATACTACATGAAAATAAAAATTCGCTACAACGAAACTGGAGAACATTTGAAGAAATATGAACATTACCCGACTTTTTATAGGTAAGAATTTGCTAGAAAGAATCTACAACATTCAATCCAAATATAAAGAAATTACATTTGTGGGATTGAGGAGCAAGAGGAATTTGATCTCTCAAATAGGATTTATTTTAATGTGTGGGAACACGCGTTCGTCTGTACAGAGCGGCAAACCTGAACCATGGTCACTGGACAACTCCGTACTTCGATTGTAACGGCAAAATGGAGAAATGGGTAATTACCTATGCATCCCCATTTTTCGGCTGGGACAGCTTGAAAGAGAACCTGGAATTCAAGTAAGTATTTCTGTGCGTACAGACGACTCGGCGGACACGTAGTGTATACATGAGAAATCGAATGTGAGATACTCTACAAGGATAGGAAACCAGTTTCCTTACAAAGAAAGAGGAGGAGCAAGATCACATTTTATATTAAAATCCTTACAGAGGCGTTGTAGCTGTTACTATGGACCTGCTTCAGCTCGACATAAACCAATGCGACGATGTGTTCTACGCGCCAAATGCATTTAAGGGTACTCACAAGTGCGATAGGAAAACGTCATACGTAAGATTTTATCTAAATTAATATTTCTGTATTTCGATTATCATCCTATTAATAGAAACATTCTATAAAAAAAAGATAAGATTAATCATCTCTTTCTTCGTTCATAGTGCGTACCTATTCTCGGCAGAGGTTTCGAAACAGGCGGATACAAATGTGAGTGCAAGCAAGGTTTCGAATATCCATTCGAAGATTTAATTACATATTACGATGGTCAGTTGGTAGAAGCTGAATTCAATAATCTCATTAACGATCAAGAAACTAGGTAATTAAATATAGAAATCAGTAAGGTTCTCTTCCGACAAATAATTACATAGTTGCAACATTGATTGGTGTTTGTTTCGTAGGTACGACATGTTTAAGTGTCGATTAGCGGGTGCTTCGTCGGCTGAGGTCAGCTGGATGTTATTACTAGCGTCGATGGTCTATTACCTGATTAAAAGTAAATAATGCCGTTTTATTATAATAAATAGAGATATACCATTATGCCGTCCGATTACAAAGACTTTGAGTATTTTATTTTAAACTTATATTAGCAATACTACATTCCGTCCAATGATATTTTAATCATTACACTTTTTATCTCGGAAGATTATAGTCATTTTAAGAGAGTTTCGTAGAATACAAAAGTCATAAATGTAAGAAATAAATACATAAATTGTAATTATAGATACGTGCATACACGGCACATACACTTTATACGTCCAGTTGAAATGTACACAAATGTATATTGTCAATTTATGTATTTTAAAATATATTTTATACCTTTTATATTTTAATAATACATTGTATATACAATTATGTCAATTTATTTCATTTTATTCCATTTTCCATCTCATTTGTATCCCTTTGTTACGCTTCCTATGTGGAAGTTATAAAAGGCTATTTACTATTCTTATTAATGTTTGGAACTTTATTCTTGCGTACTCAAATTTGTATTTGGAGGAAAGGAACAATTCATTATTATATTTACACTTGTATTTCATTCTAAAAGTAACTAGGGTTGTCCTTAAATTGTATTTATAAATAATCATGAATTACAATAATGTACATTATACGATCTAACTTGGCCAAGGTTTACAAATATTTGTAATTCGTAAGGATCCCTAAATATTTGTTATTCGGCTATTACTCTTTCTTAGGTGAAAATTGATGTTTAATGAATCTAAAACCCTGAGTCAATTGTGCTCCCTCGTTAACAAAATGGCAGGCAAACAGAAGCAAGTTCCGTGGCTGAACCTTCAGTGCAAATCGCATAAACATTGCAGAGTACAAGCACAATGCTGAAAAATAATACATCTTATAAATGTTAACTCGATTCTTGACTCGTGCAATTTTTACTAACTAATAACCTATATTTTCTATTAATGCAACTTATAATTTCTTCACTGTTACTTGAAATATTAAATTTCCAAGATTTTAGCTGAACAAAGTTTGCCTTTGAGGTACAGATTAATTAGATTATTTTATAACTATTTTCTGGACTTTTCTAATACACGAACAAGACGTGTTTCATGTATATATGGCACAGTATATATCTTTTATGATATATACCGTGGGTACAAAAAAATATAATAAATAGACACTTTAATACGTTGAGAGTTTTAACGCATGTGCGTACTCAGTTTGTGTATATGTATATATGAAATGTAAATAATCGTTAAATTAAGAGATATTCAAATTGACATACTAACCAAGTGTCATTTTCCCACTGATGAATTCCGGATCTCTTCGAATATCGGCGATCGCAGCGATTGGAATACCCCAATTAGCTACTGGTCCCCAAAAATGCGTGCTGAAACAAAAAAAGCGCTTTTCATATATTTAAGTCACATGTACACAATAAAGGTCGTATGCACACGTGAGCATGCAGGAATGTAGGAATGTTTCTATAGCTTGCCTCATGAAGTAATCACGAGTCTCTTTGCTCGATAGGAGTTTCTTAACACGATTCATCGCGATGCTCTTTCCCCGTTTTCCTATTTCCTTTCTTTCCCAACGAGCTGTCCTTCTAAAATAAAGCAAACGAGAGATATGGAAATCAGCACGAGTAGCTTCGAGGGAGCAAGCATCGGTTTAGTTACATAAACGATCACATAAAAAATATTCCTCTACTGGTTGAAAAACATTCGATAAAGACTTCCTACCACGAGAATCATACGACGTTACTAATCTGAAATAAAAATTATTTTACGTTTGCTCGAACCTTTGGACCTTTTGTCCCTTTTGTTTTTATATAATGAAACTTTTTAGTTGGCCATAAATATAAAGTTAGATACCAGCAGCAGTCCACGGCATGCGCGGCAGTTTAAAAATTACTTTTAATCACAAATTCACTGATGAGAGCCAATCAAGCCAATGTTTTAATCATAGCAATACATAGCTTCGTTAATTTCGATTACTTTCTCTACTGATTCGATTCTACTTGATATTTCTTGACTAAAATTGTATAATTTAATACTTGGACCATGAACTTTACATAATTAATTACTAAATTTATTTTCGCAATAATCTCGATCCTTTTTTGTAGCATTCAAAGTCGAACAATTTGATTGGCTGAAACGCAGATAATAAAAATTAGGAAGGTGTAAGCATTAAACATAATTTTAATTTAGAATAATTATCGAAAATATATACAAAGTTTAATATATTATACCGTCTTAAAAAACTAGTACGCCTTTCCTCTTACTTCCATAACATAATTACAAAGCAGAAAAGGATGTTACAAAATGTACAATTATATAATTCAAAATCACTTTCCTTTGACATGTGGGTTAACAGATCTGTATATAATATTGTAATTGCAATAGATATAATCTGTAAGATAATTCAATGACATAAGATCTTTGCGCTGGCAACAACGCTACACAATTTATTAGTCGAGATGAGCTTAATTTAGTGCATAGTTAAATCATAGTTAAAATATATACATATATGGATAACATTTAGAGCTAAATTATTATATACATGTATATTTCATGGTATAAAAATATTTTTATCTTTTCAATACACAGTGAGAGGTATCGACTCGTTAATTACCAAATTTTTTTAGTTAAACACGTTGACTGCCGATGGTTATGCTGCGATGCATAATTGTTTTTGCATACTAACTTTGGAAAACCTTTCCCTTCTACCTATATTCTTTAATGTAAATAATATGGTATCGTTTGTTTTCTTTTTTTTTTTTTTTTTTTTGTACCAAGTGTTCAGCCTTATAGTAAAAAGAGTTTCATCTTTCTTATTTATTTTTCTGCAAATACCCTAGTACGTAGATATTGTAAAGGCACACAACGTGTTAACAGAGACAAGAATCATTTTTCGATAGGTGTCGTTGTATGTATGTCCGTATGCGGTAAAAGCAAATTACCGTTTGATTTTTCAATTGTTCTAAAATATATATTACAAATTAAATCCACCGAAGGAAGCACTTGTAAATCTTTTTAACGATCGAGTAGCAATTACACACGCGCAGAATAATCCTGTAGTTGTACAGAACAACTAACGCTTGCTGAAAGTTCGTTTTAGCATCAACTCGGTGTTCTTGTGCCATCGTCTTGCGCACATCTATTAACTAAAATTACACATGCAAAAATTATGTATACAAAGAGTAAGATTATCAACTGTAGTATACAAGGATTACTTTTATGATAATAAGAGTGAATCCCTTTGGTATTCATTATTTGTCGAATGTGCAATCGAAACAAATAGATGCACTTTGGGGGGGGGGGAGGGGGAGGGGGATGGGGGGGGGGCTGTAGGGCACACCGGGGCCGGGGAGCATGAATACGACACTTAAATGCGTTGCGTATTATTACAAAAATTACTATTCCCCATTCCTTCCTGTTCCACTACCGACAACTTCACAATTTTTATAGACAACCTATTGCTGCATGGAAAATTTGTTTCCTTCTCGTGTATCGAATCTCCTTTTTCAGGAAGAATGTCGGTTTATAAATAATAGCGAACCAGTAACGGAAACCTAAGTCATTCTTACATTTTTCCCTTCCTGCCTTTTTCTCTTGCAATACATACATTTTTCTTCTACGTGCAATAATAACGAATAAATCATGCGAAACACGTATTTAAACATTTGTCATCTGTTATTAATACAGTAACGTTCAGACGAGATTACTTTTCTAGTAATCTTCTCGTTCTATATAAAAGACTTACTTTTCCTTTGGTATATACTGCACGTAAAGAGCACACAAATTAGTAGTAATTATTTAAACTAGTTTTTAAACAATTTGGGTACGAAACAACACATACAATTGTACGTAAATCTGTAATATAATTTGTATTTTAAATTCTGATCGTTACTGTTTCAATGTTACACCGCAACAGGTGTTTTATTTTTAATATCTATCGATTCTTGCCAATTCTCTGTAGATATACAATTAACTATTAAAAATTAACGATTTCACTTTCCGTTGTCAGCATGTTAACAGTACGAATAAAACGATTTATCTTTAATTTGTACATGGTACATACATTCTTGATGCAGTAATGCAGTGTTCAACCCTTTCTTTTCTATCAAACGAGTAACGTCAACGATTAAGTCTTTCAGGTTTTAATCGTGTGTTGTTTAAACAAATTAATTGGCTCGTTTCCCAGTCGTTTCAATTCATTTTGCTTATAATACGTACGTACATATTCAACAATGAGAATAATACAAATTAACAAAGACACTAAACAATTTAAATAAAAGCCAGTTAACTGAAACAAGGGGACAAATAATACCCCAGACAAAGCGTGTCTTACAGAGGTATTTCTTTTTTCTAAAAATAATACGGCGTATCGTATCGTATAAAATTACATGCGTTTGTGACACGAGATATGGAGATTCGTTATCCATAATGTAAACATGTATTGCAATCGATAGTTTCATCAGTTCTTTCGGTACGTCTATCGTTAGGAAGTCTTACGTTAAGAAGCCGTTTACGAATGATAGGAATCGTATCGTGAAAATGGTATGGACAAATTGAATGTTCGTTACTTGGTTGACGTTACATTACTTACTCGTGTTTTTTACTTACATTAAATAAACGATTTTGTCTGTGCAATTCAACTTTCTAACTGTTCGTCTCATACTCTTTCCAGAGTTTCTTAATTTTAGGATACATCTAATTAATCCGAGAAGACATAAGAGACACACACAAAATATATGTATACGGCATGACATTAAATCGATAACACTTCTTAAAATTACAAAATATTTAAAAAAAGAAAAAAAAAAAGAAAAGAAAAGAAACGAAACGAAAAATATTAGAGAAGTGACAAAAAAAAAAAGAAAAAAAAAAAGGCTTGACGATTGAAAGCTGCATAAAATATGCAATGAACACATTACATCCATTCAAGAATCTATACAATAATAATTAATATTTAGTAATAATTATTACATGTTGTAGCATTCAATGTAAAAAAAAAAAAAAAGACGTTAAATAAGGCCGATACATTTAAAAGCCACATTATTCTAATTATTTGCAATATCACAGTACTTGCTGAAACATACAAACACGTGTTTCCGATACGCACGAAAGCCAATTCCAATAAGGATGGCAACCACGATACCTTTTCCTCGATAAACACTACAATAAAGAGTATACATTGCCTAGCCATTGATCATTTACTGTCTCATCTTTCGATCGACCATCACGTTTTATAATTGTATTCGAGATTACATACGCCTCGCAGTAAATGAATTGATACCCTTTTCTTTTAAAAAGTCGTATATCTTTACCTCGATTCACGAAAATATAAAAGCTATCGTATCTCGAGTTCTCAAATTGATATACATCGTGTCA